TCTGAAGAAGGCGAAACCGCCGAAACGTCAGCAATTGTGTTCTAATAAATTCTATATTAACAACCTCGTGTCTGCTTATTGATGAAAAACATTGAATTATCAATTAATGCCGAGGTTAACAGAAAGTCGGTCATGGGAATTATTTAATGCTAATTAACACACTGTACTGATAATACGCACTTTTCCGATGGAACACGCCTGTAGACAATCCCCTTCGATTTGCTCCTTCTCGCAACAGGACAGGATCAATCTCGGGTTCACTGGCAACAGTTCACGCGAGATGACCAGCTAAACAGTTCAAATGTTCTTCAACTGAAACCAGACTAGCTAAGTAATAAGATCTTAGGTGCAAAAGAAAAAGAAAATTCGGTAAGTAGTTCTATGTAGTTTTCCATCAACTACCACTTAAGCTACTTTCCCATCATTTCCTTGACATTTACTTGGCATAACTCGTTCCACGGATCGCCATCACAGGGTGATCTCATGCCGGTTAGTCGCAATGCAACGTTACACCTCTTCAGCTGGCGAATAGAGGATTAATCGAGAACCAAGAGTGACCTTTGTTTCCCTCAGACGCAGTTGGAACCAGGTGACGAGTTCCTGATTCTGCTGCACCGATCTGGCAAATACTCTCTGTATTTACTAGGAAGTAACCAGAAGAACGCCTGAAGAATGTCGCAATGGGACCCAAGGAAAAGAATGGAATGAACAGGGTGAACGGCTCTCTGAGTTTATTATGACAAACAAGACATTCCATGGCAACTCGCAATTCCAGAAGCACCCTCCACACTGCACGTAGGAGTTTCCCAATGCAGAGTACCACAACGAAGCAGACCACATAATAGTAAATAGAAGGTTTTGTCTAACCGATGTAGCTGTTGTCCCAAAATTCTACATGGGATAAGACCACTGCTTTGTTTGTGCAAGAAATCATTCCGCGCGAACAAGGGAGGAAGGAGATAGACTCAAAAAACAAACTCCCAAAACCACCATAAACTGTGATTATTCAATATGTATTCTTTCTTGATAAGCTTACACGAGGTTGATAAATATATTTATTTTCGGCTAACGTTTCGACGTCTTCGTCTTCCTCAGAGCCTCAGCTGATTATTCAATTCACTAGCCGGCTCTTGGGAAGATAACGTCCTGGACAATATCGACGAGGAAAACGATCGGTTCATTCAGCATCTTCACGTTGGCGGAATGAGAAGAGTCCGAAGGTCAGCTCATACGCCAGCGTGGAATCGCACAGGCTGCAGGCAACCGCGAACTAAGTCAGAACTTGCAAAACAATGCAGACAGGCGATAAAAGGTCTTAAGGATAGAAGAGGAGCAGTCATGGTCAAAGATGAAGAGGCTGGGAAAAGCATTCGCATAGCCCATCGAAGCTTCACCAATTACAAGATAAAGATGACTGCACTCCGACGCCCAGAAAGAACAGTTGCAGCGTTCAGAAAGGCAATGGAGAAAATCATTCACGACCACTACTCATCTCTCTCGATCTCTTCGATAGCCACATCCTCTCGCTCTCACATAAAATAAAGGAGGACGAATATGTCGTACTACCGGTTCTCCTTTCCAAATTCCGGCATGCTATTTCGTTGACGAGAAATTGAAGAGCATCAGGTCCGAACGTGATAAAATCTGAACACCTGAGGAACCTTCCGCCAGTCCTCGTAAATACACTAGCTTGCCTCTTCACACGTTACCTGTCCGAATCCAAGGTCCCTACCCAGTGAAAGATCAGCAAGATAGTGTTATTGTTCAAGGAGAGAGACCACCACGATTTCGGCACCCATCGCCCAATCTGCTTGCTGTCTGTCGTCTACAAACTTTCCACTCGAGTCAACCTAAACAAGATTGACAGAGCACTGGATGAAGGGCAGCCATGTGAGCAAGCAGGGTTTCGAAAAGGATTTAGTAAGATGGACCAAATCCACACGATAACAAGACTCACTGAAGTATCGCAATAATACAAAAGACCGCACTGTCTCACTTTCATCGAATTAAAGGCTTTTGATTCAGTTAAGATAGAAGCAGTTATGGAAGCACTGCACGATCAGGGAGTCCCTGGCTCAATGTATAAACACTCATCCTGAGCTGTATAGAAATTTCACAACCAAGACATCACCATTCTACAACGATATTAACGTCGACGTCAAAAAAGGGGTTAGGCAAGACGATAAAATCTCGCCAAAATTATTCAGCGCCACTCTCGACAAGTTAAGCGAATATTGGAATGGGATAACATGGGAGCGGAAATCGAAGGTCGGCAATTACACGATCTTCACTTTGCTGATAACATGGTTCTTATAATACTAAACATTAGCCAAGCGGAACCAATGCTTGCCGACTTTGATAAAACCTGTGGAAAGATCGATCATTGAGTAGATATCACAAGAACGATGTTCATGAGGATTGGTTTCGTATGCCCCATTCACTCTCAACGGAACGAATATCTTTGAATGCTCCTGTTACGACTATCTAGGTCGGGAAATCATCATGATGAACGACTAAGCTCCAGAGTTGAGCAGAAGGAAGCGATCGGCTCGGGTGCTTTCAAGAGCATCGAAGATGTGGTGAAGAGGACAAAGAACACCCGACTCTGTCCCCACCTTTTCGACTTCACGGCACTTCCTGACTTAATGTACGCGTCAGAAAACTAGTTCACTACGCAGGCAGGATGAAAGATAACACAGCGTTAATGGACGCACAGTCGAAAGGATAATGCTAGGAGTATCCCGTGTCGCACAAGTGAGGGAAGGGATCCGAAGCTCCGACTTGAGTTTACGACCAAAAATCAGACATGCCATTGTATAAGTTAAACTGTCGAAGATAAGGTGGGCAGGGCACATAATGCGCATGAACGACAACCAATGGACGAGGGCCGTTAGTGACCGGATTCTTCAAGATATCAAACGTACTGCAAGAAGACTACAAACCTGATGGTCAGAGTTCTTAATGAAACAGAATCCACTGGGATACGCTTGCGCGCGACGGAAAAATGGAAGATTTACTGGCGTCCGCTCGAGTCAGTCGACGATCAACGGGGCAACGGGTTACGCAGATGAATAATACTATTAACGAGAAACAAAGAAACTACATTCTTTTAAAAGTACAGACTTTAAAATAAAGAACAGTCACCAACCAGAGGAAATTTTTAACCTAAAAGATGAATGTCACACCTCAGCTGTATCGATTGACTGGCTGCCGTTCTTTTCAGCTATGCAGGAGTAGATGCCGGCCATTCCAGTGGCATTCTTCAACTAAAATGAGTCACTTTAGAACTTATTTAATTCTTCAGAATTATACTCAGTTCCTAATATTTCTCCAAAGTCTATGCTTTTCAACTTCAAACAGGATGCAGGTATCGAGCAACAGACGTAGATTAGTAAAGATTTCCCACAAATCGTTTTGCTTTAGTAAAATCAGTGTTGAAATGACATGAAATTCGGCTAAGCAAGCAAAAAATGGGAAAGTGAAACACAAGAGTGACTCTGTTTGAGTCGCTGGACGAACATGTAGTGTAGCACGATAGGTGTTCATGGCGATGACTTTCACGCGTGTTTCTCCCTTTACCGCTTTGCCTTCAATTTCGAAACGGATTGCCGGCGATGGAAAGCCCTTAAACTAAATAATGAAACCATGCATTTGAAAGGAATACGATCATATGCCTACGAATTACTCTAACTTAACCTTAACAGTGCAAGTAAGATCAGCTGACTGATCGTCGAACGCTCTCACTTTCTCCTTGTCCATTTTGGCAACTGGACCAACTGAAAGCAGCGCGTTATGTTAAAGGAGTTAAATAACATACCACAATGTGAAAGGATTCTAGAAGGAAATGAAGAGGAGGACGATAAATAAGAAACAAGGAGTAGGTGAACGAATGGTGAACTTCGGCTTTACATAAATGTTGAAGTACACAAACTACGCGATGATACTGAACATGGTGCCAGAAAACTAGTAAAAACCTACATCTTACAAGTAAGTGTCGCATGGCGACATTCTGACGACCATCTGTATCCGTTACCGCACAAGTGACGGTGTCGACGGACGAATCCGCTTCCAGTTCCTCAGCTACCCATGAGACACCATGGTCATTACTGGCCTAAAACGTTACGGTTAAACAAGAAACGCGTTGTATAACCACCAACAATGAAGCATAAATTATTTTGAACATTTCGCCCTCGGAAAGGATCTTCGTGGTTTCATCTGAGCTAAGGTCCAAGTTTTGCAAATATCCTAGCATCATTATGGTTGTATTCACATAATACCTCGCCGTGGAAAAAACAGTGGGCAGCGGATAAAAGCTACATTTTATGGTTTCTGTCAGCTGGGAAAAAATTCGTTGGAGCACCAAAATACATCAAATATTTAATTTAGAGCGTTTATTCCGATATTTTTCAAACACACACATTTCATAAGGTAACTTCATCATGGCTACCGAAGTAAAGTGGCGGTCCACTACAAGTTAAATTTTCGTCCAATAAACTCGTTCGAAAACAAAAGTTTTTCTGTACATTTCTGACTGCAAATTAAAGATTTTCACTGCCAACGGTTACCGCAATGTGTGCTGGATCAGATATCGAATGCAAACCTTTCGGAGAGAGGCTCTATGCGACATAATAAACGGTCGAAAAATAATTGAGTCATATGTGACTCACGTTGGCCCCATCGACGCATCGTTCATATGTCATCACCACGTTACCAAAGTGTGAAAAAGTGGATTTAAAGCTGTCGCCATGCGGTTGATAATTGCGACGATCGACATGCATAATTTTGCTGGGTGAATAACTGCAGGTCAAAATTCTAATGAGAATGGAGATGAACACAGTGGTTTACAGATATACCGTTATACGTTATACCTATATACCAGCTAGTTCGTAGCCGCCTATATGACCGTCCATAAGCAATGCAAAGTTGTAAAATTGCCTTAATGAAAGAGATGGTGAACGCATGAGTTCGGCTACGGTTTATCTGATCGCTGTAAGGCGTGCGGAAACAAATACGCTGTCGAAACGGGTAGATCACTCTGTGTCTGTTATAAAAGAACACCTAGTCGGTAAACCTAGGCCAAACGCTCCGCTAGGCAAGCATAAGACGCACAGATGTAATGGCGAAAATTTTGAAGTAGAGGTTACAGCGCGCAAAACTCTCGAGGAATTCTGAATTATTTCCAAGAGTCCGAAAATGAACCGCTGGGAAGAATGCCTCATAATCAAGCGTGATATGGAGCAGTATTTAAACATGTTATTGTGATGGGAGGAACACAGTACGCTTCCATGTGAACACTGTGCGGTTGGCCTCCACATGACATATTCAGTGGAAAACTTATATAAAGCGGTGAGTGTGCGAAGAAGCTATTCTGTGCTCAATGTGATTGAAATTTTCGTTTAGGGTTTTCTCTGTTTGGTTTTGGTGGTGTTTGACCAGGTAGAAGATTGCAGTCAACTTGAGCTTTCCAGGCTCTGAGGAAGGCGAAATCCGCCGAAACGTCAGCTTGTACGTAAAAAAAAGTAAAATAACACCTCGTGTTTGCTAAACAGCAATATAAAGAATTGTTCGATCAGTGCCAAGGTTCCTAGACAGTTGGTCATGGGAGTTACAGTGGTTTTAATTAACAACGCTTTGCAGAGAAAGAGGAAACCTGTTACCAAAACAATTCCTCATGTAGATTAATGATGGTTCGCTATGCATATTAACTGTGTCATACCATGAAGTACTTTCGTTAAGTAAACCAATAAATTCAAGATATTCCTACTGAAAAGACTCTGCATCACATAGCGTACCTTAGGTATATACTTAGACAAACTGCAGTTGCTCACTTCTTACACCAACTGTAGAATGTTTCTACCTAGCATGTTTGACGTAAACATCACATGGAAAATCTTCTCTGTCTGCTTAGACAAATTACAGTTGTATGCTCTTACACGAACAGTGAAGTTTTTCTACCTCGCATGTATGATGTGAACATTCACTGATTGCATTCTGTATTTGTCTGATACAAATACGTTTTAGCTACCAACGTTGGAGATTTACGCTTTGAATGCTACAATCACAAGCCTTGCGTTGCAAAGAACGAGAAGGCAAACTACACAACACTACAGCATTTCATTCAAAAAGCAAGAAGACCTCCAGCATCCTCATTCAGAACTCAACGTCGTAAATTCGTCTGGTTACTAAAGGTTGCAGATCAATAAGATTTCAATTTCTTGACTCTCACTCACAGTCTCTCAAACGTTAAGGTTTAGACACCTATATAGTACAGAATCTCACGACATAGATCCACATTCCATAGTCAAGGAGAGACAAAGCAACGACTAATCAACTAACTAGTCTCTACACTATCTGATATTCAGCTAAGTACTCCATCATTGAACCACTACAAATAGTCAGAAGGGTATCGATAACCGCAATATTTCGTGCATTGATGGCAACCAACACCACTATTACCATTAAAAGATCCGAACGAAAATAAACAGACCGAATGGGTTCCAGCACTAAGATCGATATTCAAATGTCCTTTAGTGATATCGACAGGCACCGAACAGTTGATCAGAATTTTGTCGTTCTGCGTATAGACACCGTCTGCGTGATCCGGAATGATTTTCACAACTGGTTCCGGTAATCCCAACAGATCTGAAGAAAGAATGACTTGAATAATTCATCAGGAAAACGCGAACACCTGGAATTATTCGTGGGACGATCGACTGGACGCATTTGTTCAGGTATAGATGCGTACCTGGCTGCGCGAGTACTGTAATCACCGATGAACTTCGGCTAGTTTTCTCCTTTTCCGTTGCCATCACATAAATGGAATACAGTGCATCTCGTGTTAGATCTTTTATGATCAACCAGGTGCTATTCGTTTGCATCTAAAAAAAACAGTAATAGCAACTGGCCAGAGAAATTCCCTAGTTGTCATGCAGAAAATTTCCGCACTTTAACGTACAGATTTAAGTTGACCGCTCTTCATAACACTCCACAGTGAGTTTTCTTGCACTATAAAGCAACCTACTAAAATCAGAAATCCTTGCCCACTTGTTTCTTTAGGTTTTTAAGGCAACATTTGATATGGAAGTGATCTAAACGACTACGTTGGGATTTTTTCCCAACGATGTTTGAGTACTAATCAGTGAGTGACGAGTTAAAAAACAGTTGAAAAGTAATTTTGAAAAGCCTCGCCATTTTTCATCTATGAAGCAAATTTCTCCGATAACTAAAACTCTGACCTAAACACTCTAAAAACAGTATCTGTTTTGTATTCTCTTCTTAGTCATTTTTCATTTTCATTAAGATATATCATATCAATACCGTAGTCCACTGCCCAGTTTTTTCAACTTCCACATAGTAGAGTGTGTATGTGACGACACCGGTAACTGGTCGTTCATCCATACGTAAAGTGACCGGATTCCAAGTGATATTTACACGATTCCCATAATTCCACACAACACTCAGACCGTCTGGAGCTTTCGGACGATCACCATCGGCAACTAGAATTTAATAAAATAAAAGCTCTTGCATAACGAAAAAAAAACTGAAAACGAAACGATTTGCCAAGCTTTCTATGTAAGGTTTCCACAAAATAAGGAAGAATTTCCAGCAGATCTTCATCAGAACTTTCCGGTTGATACGATGTGATTTTAAAAAAAGCAAGAAGCAAATGCCGCCTACTATTCATTGTTTTCACAGCCAAAGAAATGCTTTAATGGATGAATTCGACCTAACATTATTGAAACGCAAGGCATTCAGGCCTAATAAGCCGAGAAATTTCAACTAGTTCGACTCTTCAGCTATCGTAATGCACTTCGAGGTAGGCGAATTCATTTAATCACGACGAAAATAATGAGAAAAAATCTCATACTTCTTAGCGGCAGGGTAGTGAAGGTGATATTGAACGACTGCGGACCGTCGCCATGTTCGTTCTTACTAATCACTCTGGCTCGATATTCAGTAGATGGCGAAAGATTCTCCAAACGATAGCTTTCTGCTGTCGTCTCAGCCGTGGACGCAAGTGCATCGTTAGCGAAAAGCTTAACAACAATAACAAGGGCGTTGAAAATCCGAGCTTTTAGAATTTTTGAATTCTTAATAAGAATTAAAACAAAAAACTAAAGTTTAAATGTTTTCTTTGGGAGAAACAAACGGTCTTTTTACTTCCTCTTAAATTTTTATGGCTCCTACTGTACACTTTCTAATCAGCCACATATTTACTGCTTTACATAACTTCATCAATAGTGACGTTTTCGTTGCGTTCTTTTGTCTTTTTCTACAGATACCTAACACTAAAAAAAATACAGTATACAACAAATTACACGATAAGTATTATTGCATCAACTATTCACATTTTATGACTTCAAATACCTCCACTTTATATCCGGTAACACTGTAATCGGAGTCTTGCCAGATGAGCAGCGCTGAATCGGAAGTGATCAATGTCACCTTCAGACGTTGAACCGGCTGTGGCAGGCCAAGATGAGGCGCTGAGAAACATGTTGAGAATCTCGGCAATGCAACGAAGCACGAATCCGCCACCTAAAGACGAACAGCAACGTAAAACGACGAACAAATAAGTAATCGGTTAAGAAATAGCGCAGTTTCAGCGAAAATGCTGGCCGTTTTCTCTTAAGGAACAGAGGTATTCACTCAGTGGTTCGGCTTCGTTTCTACATTTAAGGCACTAATTAGTCGAATCGTTGAATGGTCAATCGCTATGAACAACGAAGAATCGTATGGGCCGCCTTACAACTTCCAGCTTACAGCCGATTAACTTGTCGGCAAATTTTCTTTTCCTGAAGTTCTGAAAGTCGTACGAGAACGTTTTCGAACCGCCATTAATCGAACTCCTTGCGAAAAGATGAATATTCCGCTCACACCGCAGTTCACCAACCAGGAATAACCCAAGAGATCCAAGCTTAGCAACAGAATGATGCAAAATGAAAGGACGTTCAGTATATCCATCTGGAAACGTATATGAGAGTGAAGCAATTCCACTAAAGGTTACTGCCCTGGAAAAGACCCAATCACAAGGCGACAAATCTCCACCCAATATAGAGACCGGCAACTGTCTGTGGGAAGAATCTGAAAACACCCTAGAGCGGAATTCCTGAGGTTAAAGGCGAATAATGTTTTAAAGCAATATAAAGCAACCAAGTAAACAACGTTTTAAAAACATGGAAATAGTTGACGAATCCGTGTGATCACTCATGAAGAAGGATCGCCATTCAAGGATCAATTATACCAATTTGATGTTTTAGGTAGTGTGGAAATTTCTGCCTTCACTCGAAACTAACTGAACAACATCTCACATAAAAAACCATTAATCCTTTTGAATCACAAAAGCTACCATCAGATCGAGAACGAAAGGAATCCATGCTAGTGGTCGATGGTTTTTGTAGGGAGTTTCATCTAAAACAACGTATCACAAAGACCTTTCATCGAATATGAAGGTCCAAAACTGGAACGCAAACCAATGAGGACAAAAACGAGCACGACAACAAGAAGGTGATGGTTTTACCTGGAAAGGGTGTCGACAACCAGTGAGACACTCCTTTGGGACGTTCTCCATCTCACAACATCGAGAATGATCACGACCCTCAGATGCGCACTGGACCCACTTGTTTAGATCACCTGAGATGATGAACGATTCGGTGATCATTGAAATTCTTTAGCATACATAGAAAAGTAGTAAAAGAATAAGCACGAAACTTAAAAATTAAAATTTCTCTCCAAATTCCCCATAGGAACATTTTTTGTAGTAGATGAACTTCTTGGTGGTAATCAAGTAGTCTCCACGGCGAAGCGTGGATGTCAGATCTATTATCACTTTTAGCACATCCAAATTAATTCAATTCTGAACGCCTTTACTTTTTTCGACGTCGGAAAGAGTGAGGTCCTTTAGGCCAAATGCGTATTGCGAGGTGTATTAATAGCTGAGCAGTGTGGAACTTTGAGAGATCGCAGTATCCGGGCTAAGGAGACTTGAGGTTTTGCTCACACTGGCAGTTTCGTTATATTGGTGTGAATTTGATCAAATACAAGTTAAGTTCTAGTGAGTAACAACACGACCAAAAGGATGCGCCTATAATACCCACCGTTTGAAGCATAGGAACGTTCGCTTCTTATTAAGAAGCGGTGGACACAATTGACAATGCGCTTCCAACTAACCATTCATAATCTCCCTTCTTCCTTTCTCTCTCTTCTCTTTGAAAACCCTCCGAATCTCTGCGAATTCTTCAAAACTGAGAAATCCATCTTACGTCGACAGCGTTCTGGAAGTGTGACGTTGAAATAGCAAGTTGACTGACAATCGGGTGACACTTTCTGATGACGGCAGCAGTCTTGGAAGTCGTCATTCGAATTTCCAGAGTCTGAAAATAATGCGTTCGGTGTTGAACAATGGTATTGATCACGGCTTCTTAATGTTGCTCACATTGATCGGTGGATAGTAGAAATGATTTAAGAACAAATGATCTACATTTTAGGGAGCATTCAAAATCCCAGATGCTTTAACAGTGTTTTTTAATTAAGTGCAATTAGAAAAATCAGGTGCATTATCAAATAAAGGAAGCCGACCTTTTTGGCAACAAAAACCTTCGTCTTCGGCGTCCATACACTGAAAACCGAGCGGACAAGGATGGCTCGAACTGCAGAGAAACGGTCGAGCTTCTGTAAATCTGCCTTATTGCTAGTTATATCAATTATCTTCTTAGTTTGTCGACCATAAAACATAAGGGAAAGCAGCAAAAAGGAAAGATGAGGTTCTCTGCTTTGCAGCTATGTCCTCTAACATTGTGACCAAAGTTCACTATAAGGAGTAGATTTTTTACGAAAAAACAAGAAAACAAAAACAAAAATTGCTTCTTCAAAATGTTCGTCTCATGAGTTTCAATCGCAATTTCCGTCTGACTATCGAGTAATAGAATCGTGGGTCACTTGTGTATTTAACACCCTTTCGCTGCGTTTCGAACTATCAAACAACTGTAAGACGAGGCCCTTTCATTTCAACTTTTTCCACTACGAAGATTTTCTCCTTCTTAACATTAAAAAGGAGTAAGCGGAGAAAAACCCCAGCATGTCAGTTAAATATTTTTAAAGAAAAATTCTCAATCTTAACCATTTTATTTACTGTCTATTCTTTTTAACGGCAAGGTATGTTGCGAAATATAGCTACTCTAACGCTGAGATATTTGCAAAACTCCGGACCGCAGGTGTCTGCGGTGGGGAACGAACGCGCGATTCTCCCCTTTTGATCGACAGAACTAGCCGAGAGACAGGCGAAACGAAGGACCCGCGTGGTGTGGTGCTGAACGCGTTTCTCCCCGGAAAGGACAATAGCGCGTTTGTTCCCCACCGCAGACACCTGCGGTCCGGAGTCTTGCAAATATCTCAGCGTTAGAGTAGCTATATTTCGCAACATACCTTGCCGTTAAAAAGAATAGGCAGTAAATAAAAAAGGTTAAAATTATGATTATAACTAATTCAACATTCTGCGAGGAAACTAGTTGATGTTTTTAGATTCCTTTAACTTTACATTGCCTTATTATTACTTTGTTATAACTTCATTCTTCCGCGATTCAAACTAAAAGCCGAGCAAGCGCTGTTTATTTAAAAAAAGGTTTTTACCGATTTTCCGTTGATATTTAAATCCAAGTGAGACCAGAGTGAAACAATTTGTTGATAGCAAAGTTAACAGACATCAACCACTGATTTGTTTGATTCTGGCACGTATGAATGAGACAGCCCCAATGGGAAGATAAAAAGGATTTAAAACATTCCTTGCCGGTAGTGTCACTAAAAATCACATGCTGGAACTAACCATCAGTAACGATCACCATAGACTGAGGAGCTTTACACCACTAAATTCTTCATCCTTCTTTCCATTCCGTAACAGAGCTTCTGGCAATACACATATCGACCACCAGATGGTTTATGAAAGCTGGTAAGCTACTATATGTTTCAAATGTATTTTACAAGTGAACTAGAAAAGACTTAATACCTATACTGCAGCAACTCAACATTCATGATTATTACACTCTCTGTATCGGTAACCTCAAGCGGTAGAGCTGGTCTACAAAGATTCGTATGGATGCTAAGTGATTTGTAATCCCCACTTTTTAGATAAATTCAAAAGATCTTTGCTAATGAAAGCTCCCTAGTTAATCATCAAAGAACGGAAAACTTCCACTCTAACATTTTCCTCTCACATCTTTCTCTCATTTTCCTTAGGTGTCTGTGGTGGGGAACGAACGCGTTATTGTCCTTTCCGGGGAGAAACGCGTTCACCACCACACCACGCGGGTCCTTCGTTTCGCCTGTATCTCAACTAGTTCTATCGATCAAAAAGGGACAATAGCGCGTTCATTCCCACCGCAGACACCTACAGTTCGGAGTTTTGCAAATATCTCAGCATTATAAGTAGCGAAAATTTGTCAGTTAGCGAACCTACGTAATCAACAAGAATAACTGTCGCAGCACCCGTGATTTCTCCATGAAGTGAAAAATATTACTAATAAAAAAAGATAAAGCTCTCGGCGTTGACCAATCCCTGAAGAATGCGCCATGCATTCAACTTCAACAAGCATGTTGGAGATGATTCAATGCATATTTGGCTTTCACACTGATTCGTGGTGGCCTACCGATGTATCGAGCCACCCAGACAGGCCATGTACCATTTTGCCGACCCCGGAGGAATGGAGAGCTTGGTGGGCCGGGGTGAGGGGATCGGTCCTATGTGTCTTGCAGGGCGTCTCCAACGACTGCGCTACACGCACCAATCACTAATAATTCCGTAGTTATGAAACTCATCAAATTTATTTGAACAATATTCAACGCCACTACCTTGCTCCATACTAATTCATAGCAGTCTGACTCAGAACGTCTTTTTTTTATTTTAATAGAACATAAATGCAAGTATAAAAAATAGAACTATTTTAGAGTGTAGTTCAAATTAAATGAGAAAAGAAAGGTGAAAAACAATTGCAAAAGAAAAGAAGAAGCTGAAAGACAATGAAAATGAAAACAGAGCACTAAAATCAAAGGAAGGATTTCAAATTAACCTGAAATTAGCAACGGTTCTCCAATTAGGCACACTCCTCGACTATTCGATTTAGTGTAGAAAAGGACAGATGTCGATGGTAATGACTGGCCCTTTTCGGAATTCGATCGAACAGAAACCAGGTACTCGCTGTCCGGATCGAGGCCGATCTCGGTATGAGGGGAAACAGCGTTATGCACCTGCAGAACATCTTCTTCGCCATCAGAGCTCAATTAAACGATATATTTACCTAGTCAGATACTATTCACAGAAATATAAAGCATAAATGAATAAACAGATAGGGACTAATGAATCCCTTAAGGATACGTCATGCATTCTACCCCATTTTTAACGTAGTGAGGAAAATTAAATGCATATTCAGCTTCCAACTGGGCCTACCAAAACATCAAGTCAACACTGTTTTCCTCCTAAACAAGTCCCTACCCAATATGGATGGAGTGGAGCATGGCTGGCCTAGAACGGTGTCTAAGCAGAGACTAGTGTGTAGTGAACAGCATCACTGCGTTACCCTTGTGCCCCATTATTCTTTATTTCAGCAAGTTACAAACTTGTAGAAACTCTATGTTTCAACTCCATTTCTCAAGTAGTTCATACTGCACTTCTCTTCCACTCGAAAAAAAAATAGAAAAGCTAAAATCTCAAGAAATAATGGAGGTTTGGTCTTCACAACGTTTGCAGAGGGATAGCTCGGAATGGAAGGTTTGTCAGTTAATTTTTGTTCTTTAAACTAAATATAACCATAACCTAGCAAATAAATCAATAAACTGAAATGAGCTATTTCAAATATGCAAACCTCCCGGATTGGCGCTCCGTGCTCAGTTTTCCTAATCAGCAACGTGTACGTCTCAACGAGATGAGCATTCGAGTTCGGTTCCTCCCATGATATTTCAACTGACGAGTCACTAGTAGAAGTGACAGTGACGTTTACTGGTGGAGAAGGATGCGTTTCTATAAAAATGCACGAAAAATGGTGTACTACCCTAGACCTACCAAAAACCTTGCACCAGTAATAACGTCTGAAAATGCTACACACAACAAATGTTAGACTATATAGCACCGCTCGGCTTTTAGTTTCAATCGCGGAAGAATGAAGTTATAACAAAGTAATAATAAGGCAATGTAAAGTTAAAGGGATCCAAAAACATCTACTAGTTTCCTCGCAGAATGTTGAACTCTAGTTGTATTTCATTCAGATTAACAAGGTGACCATTTGATTCGTCACCACATTTTCTCTTTCAATTTTTTCACAATTCTCTCTGCACATTTCCCATTTTCAGCCAAATTGAACCAACATATTTTCAGAAATTGTGCTGCACTAATTAGAATTGTAAGTAGTGAACGATATAATCCTTCCCGGTTTACCGTCTCATCGTAGCTAGGTGTTTCTGGATGTCAGGCTGCGATGTACAGCGGAGGAATTCATCCCATCAGCAGGGTCTCCCAAGCTGAGAAGAACTCCGACTTTTCCATTAGGAAACCTAGCTAAGAGTCCCAATACCAAGATCGACCACCGTACTGGTGCCAAACTAATCGCATGGTGGCAAACCTTCCTTTGATCCACAAAGGCGGCGGCTGCTTGTGTGGTGACGACGACCTAGGGCCGACTATGGCCTGGCTGACCTCGGGACTTCAGGGAATCACAGTGGCTAAACCAGCAAAATTCCGAAAAAGTGGAGATTACGCTGGGGCCCACCGGACCACTGAAGACGGACTATCAAAGTATCAAAGTAAGTTAGAATTATATAATACTAACCATAACCCTCTCTAAGACATTGATAAATAGCCTGGAGATCAAGATTGAGGCACAAAACCGAGTGAACACCGAGTGTTTCAGTAGATCCGGCACAAATTGACAAGCAGTCTTCCTGGACACCTTTGCGGCGACAGCATTCCGTATGGTTACGACCGTCGGCCAGACACGGTGACACCTAAACGAACGAACGCATGGTTTAATCAGGATAAGCCTAAAACGGATGGCTTAACTAGGATACTGCCAAAGTAAGCCTAAGCCGATTTAAGTTTCACAAACCGGTTCGATAGTGTATGCAATGTTCTCACATAATTTCACGTGAGCCTTAATAGCGAAAAGCCTACACGGAAGTATGGTAAAACGATCTACAGTAACCGGTTGAACGACATAAAATCCAGAAGAAAGGGAAGAGATACGCTAAGAAAATCTGCCGTAATCTATTCCACAACGTCAATTTCTTAAGAAAAAGCTGAAATAGGATAACAGTTTAGGTGAAATACGACCAGCACATTTTTACAGAAAGAACATTGACAATGAGGAAAAATTTATTATATGCACTTTCATAAAGATTCTGAACCGGTGATCAAAATACTTGCAGTGCTTCATCTTCTCAGTTTTCCATTGTAAACATACTTTTCCGAAAAAAAAAGGAATTTACTGAAACCATTCATTCCCATAAGGAATGTGCACGGCGCAGTGGTCGGAGGCGCCCTGCAATACACATGGGATCGATCACCGCTCCCTAGGTTCACCAAGCCTTGCATCCCTCCGCGGTTGGCAAATTGGTACCAGACTTGCATGAGAAGATAGCAGCACTGGCTCGATACATCGGTAGGCCACCGCAAGTTATTATAAAGACCAGATATGCATTCATTCACCTCTAAGGATGCTTAATGAAGTCGAGCGCATGGCGCATCCCTCAGAGATTGATCAACGCCGAGAGCTTCATTTTTTATCCTTTTACTCACTATCATAAACGTTTGCTCATCACATTTCATTCTATTGTCTCCGGAATGATGTCTATTTCAATCGTCAACTAAAATATATATGAAAATGAAAGAAGAAAATAACTACTGACTTTAATCTTCGCGGATCTGAAGAAGGCGAAGGTACCAATATGCCCCCAATTAAGAACTGGTGACAAGCTTGTGTTAATCGGTGAATGTAACAAAATACTGATTATTCATGGTAAAGTTAAATAGACTCCAATTTTTAGAAGAATGAGTGATTTTACAGTATCGATCGCTTCAACCAAGATGTACAACCTCCTTCATATTAGCCCTTCATTTATACAATCTATTTATTGTTGAATTCCGTCCGTTCAATGACTTCGGCTGATGGATCAAGGATAATAAGCATTCTGTCTACTGCACAAAAGTCTGATAACAGTTCATGTAGAGAAGAAAGACGGATTAAATTCAAAACGAAGATGAAGAAAAGCGTGAAAGAACACAAATAAAGTGTGAAACACTAAAGGGCATATTAAATCTGAAATCTCTTAAAATTGTCCCATTATAGAAAACGTCACTCTATTCGCACGGAATTTCTCGTGAACCAAGAAAGACATCATGAATTTTTAAAATAAAAGTAGAAAAAACTTTCGCATGATTAGTTCACTTTTGGTTTAGGTTTTTGAACCTAATCAATATCCATCAACAAATCTATAACCGTTGGTACCTTTGGCCACTCGACACGACAGGTGGTTGCGATCGAGACGGTTGCGAACGCATTTGGTGAAGTCTCTACGTTGCACATCTTTGAACGACAGAATTCCGACACTTTGTTCACTTTACAGCACTCTGCAATCAGCAAAATCGAGGGTTTCATTGCTAATTTCGCATGAAAAACTTTAAAAAATTGGTAAAATCTGTAATTTTTATCACTAGGAGGGTCAAGCAAAATTTGCCCTTGTGTTATCTGCTAGTATAGAGCTATATTACTTCAAATCACTTTTAGAATTACTTCATGATAAAGGAGACAACAAAACGCTTCATAAACGACAGTTTTCTAATATGAACTTTCATACGTGCATAAATTTCCGAGCCACAGCCCCTTCAACATTTCATAGGTTTGGGTGTCAAAAAGCAATGTACAATGGTGGTCTCATGTCTTCGCAAGACCTTCTAAGCCGTGAAGGAGTTCAGAATTTGCATATGGAAGACCAGCTAAGACTAAACTAATGCGCATTGCTTCCTCCATCCCTCTAGAAACTCTTCAAAGAGTTGAAAAGAAATGAAGCAGAAATAATGGAGTTAGTAATCGCTTCATAAGGTGTTTCCATCAGGAAGCCTAGCTAAGCGTAAACCAGTACCAGGATCCGTCCCCGTTCTGGTATCAAACTAGTCGCATAGTGACAAATCTGCCCTTGATTCACAAGGGCAACGACTGCTTTTGGTGGCGTGGAGTGGCCTGGAGCAGATTTTGGCAACGCTGACCTCGAGAAACCAGGGAGCCACAATGGCTAAACCCACAAAAGTCCGAAAGAACGGAAATTACGCTGGAGCTCGCACAACCAGTGAGAACGGGCCATCTAATTATCCAAGTAAGTAAGCAAGTAACAAATGCTTAGTAAAACTGGAAAAATCGAAAATGGAGGAAAAACATGAGGAAAAAATAAAAGAAAAAAACAGAGGTACGATTCCCACTCATCACATCTGGAATACTGTCATTGTTCTTCACCATGTGCGCATTTGTGCTGGCAATTGAACGAACACTTGGCACACTTGCACCGTATTCATTTCTGGCTGTCACATAGACGATATAACGAGTGGACGCACGAAGATCGCTGATCATATGGCACGTGCCAGTGGTGTTGATCTGCAATCGATAACACCGGATCGATATGCATCACATTCATACGTTGTAATATAGCTGAAATACTAAATATGAAGCCTATCATTCTGTACTCAAAGAAAAAAAATGATTCTCCGAGAAGTCGCACATAGTCCAGAGATTAGAGATTATCGCCAACATACAACAAGAATAAGATGGATAGGCGCAGATTAATGTGAGTGGTATGATTGAGATGTTTTTGACAACCTAAGCGAGACAATGTATGGGTTCATATCGTATTCAAACATTTTGTAGATTGTGGCGATTAGAAGATTTTTCATATATCTTTTATGTAAAACGATAATTTACGAAATCCGCCGATTCCTTAAGAGTTTCTTCCCAATGGTTAGAGATTATCGCCAACATACAGTAAGAATAAGATGAGTAGGCGCAGATTTAAGCTAGAGGAAACGTGAGAATTGAGATTACATCTACTGCTTTTCTAAAGATGAGCAGAAATGGACTGTTTAATGAACTATGAAGAAACAAAAAGTTTTCCTCAGGAGAATATGTGTTGCCTTTCGAGACAACGATTCGCGCAAAAGCCTTCGTCTTCCTTTGTGTTGAAATAGTAATTCATCAAAAGCCATGTCTGAATAGTTAAAGACAAAGCGAACTAAAACAGAAACTCCTATGACCTACGTGTTAACATGGACCTATGAAAAAATGTATGATGCAAATGCCACTGTAGATCAGTAAACACAATCTTCAGATTTTCAAAACACCGGTAAAACAATACCTCCGTGGATTATTAAGCCCACCACTAGGATCATCGGCTCTGGAAAAGACGCTGATGTCGAAAAGTTAGTCGAATAAACCTTTTTTATCCTCGAACTAGCTTAATAATCTAGGAAGATATTCAATATTAATTCCGAGGTTAAATGACGACGGAATTGAAAACTACTGACAAAGTAGTGCAAAATTCCGGAACTATTATGCTCTTCAGTTGAACCAGTACCGCTCCTTCAATGGTTTTGCGCCTCATCATAGCTGGGATATTTCTCAGCATTCCAAATTTCCTCAGTTCTTTCCAGAAATTCATTTAAAAAAAATAAACCATTACCAGAGAATACGCTGTCTCGTTAACAACGTAATCAGTGACGGATTTCATTTCAAGTCACAAAGTCCAGTGATTCGCTAAGGTAATGACTTTGGACAGCCACAGAATGGCTCAATCTCTCCTGTTAATCAAGAAGATTGTCTAACCAGTAAAGGGCTAATAAAATAAGAGATAGGTGTCCAAAATTCTTGAAGACGGCTCGTTTAAATATTGCAGGAACACAACGGAGAAGATTTTGAAGTAGGAGTCAGTATCCTCACGTACGAATCAAAAACATCAGCGCGTAAAACTCTTGAAGCGTTTTGGATCAATTCGAAAAGTTCAAAAATGAACCGTAAGGAGGAGTGTGTTGTCATCACGCGTGACCTGGCGCCATACCTCAGGATAATCCAATGACTTGACACATACACAGTTATCGCCCATGTATTACCCTGTGCGGCTGCTTTCCATCAACTGACTTAAATACAACAAATAAACGGTAGTTGTTTAAATGAAGCTGTTTTTATGCGAACACAATTTTATTTGTTAAGCTTTATCTGCTAAGATTATGAAAGTGTTTGTCTGAATAGATCGTATTTCAATTTAACCTTTCCAGGCTCTGAAGAAGGCGAAACCGCCGAAACGTCAGCTACTGTATCCTAATAAATCCTACAATAACAACCTCGTGTCTGCTCATTGAAGAAAAGCATCGTCTTAATATTGTCAGGTAGAAAGTAGGTGTTCGATTATGTTCTTCGTTGGAAAAGAAGTGCTGAATTAGCGGAAAAAAGCTAATTTTTCCCTTGATGTCACTGTTTTCATCATTTTCATCGACTTAAAATAGTTGCTGGTTTCGACCAGATGTCAGTGTCGTAATGTGGTTGAGATGGACACCAATCGTGCGGCCGACTGGCAAGAAATCAAGGTCGATCAGAGAAGACAAGGATGAGCGGACGAGTTTATCTAAGTCTTCAAACTTACATGTAAAAAGTTAAATTCACGAATTGTTGTTGAATTCGTCGTCTCATCTCGAGTCATCACCACCACTGTGTCTCGTCTACGCCTTATCTTCACGTTCCACTGCTTCTAAACTATGCGTTTCTTATACGCAGACAAGTAAGCAACACTGCGTTATCGTTAAAAAAGAGCTGATTCTTGTAATGCAGTCTTTCATACATGGGCAATATTTAAGCAGCGATACTAAAAAATTTTGCTACTTGAGGAAAAAAGTCCACTTAAAAATCCGACATTTCTTAACATAACCGCGATTTCGCCGATTTATTAGAGTTTCTGAGGAACTTTTAGAAAAGGCTGGAAGCTCCATTTCATCCCTAACATAATAGTGCTTTAATCTCGATGTTCGCTGAAGGGTCTTTTGAAGTAATACTAGTGTACAGTACCTACTGGTACGAGATGTGTAGTTATGCCGTTGGACTGTCATAATGACACAGTTTAGACAATATGCATCGATTTTAATTTAGATCCTTTAGCATCTACTCCTTTGCTACGTAAATTTTTCAACAACGCTTTTATCTTCTCTAACGCACGTGTTATAATTCTTTTTATTACTGCTCAGCAAACACGAGGCGTTATTTTATTTCTTTATCAACGTACAAGCTGACGTTTCGGCGGATTTCGCATTCCTCAGAGCCTGGAAAGGTCAAGTTGACCAAACCTACTCGGTCAAACACCTCCATAACCAAACAGAGAAAATGCTGAACCAAAATTTCAATCACATTGAACATATAGTCTTTGCACGCTCACCGCTTTCTATGAGTCTTCCACTCAAAATGTCACGTCGAGACCAACCGCACAGAGTTCACACGGAATCGCATTGTTCCCATCTCATCAAACTAACACGCTTATATACTGCCCAATATCACGCGTGATAATGAGGCATCCCTCCCTGCGGTTCATTTTCGGATTCTTGGAATTAATCCAGAATGCCTCTAGAGTTTTGCGCGCTTGTGTTCTCGATTCTTGCGCGAGGATCGTAACCACTACTTCAAAATCTCCTCCGTTATGTCTCTGCGTTCTATGCGTGCCTAGTGGAGTATTTGGTTTATCTTTGCCGATTAGGTGTTTTTTTATACGTACGCAGAGTGGTCTATCCGTTTCGCCAACGTATTCGTCCCAGCACGCTTTACAAGAGATCAGATAGACTGTACCCGAACTCATGCAGTCACCGTCTCTACCATTGGGGCAAATTATGCAATTTTGTGTTGGGCATAGACGGTCGTATAGGCGGTTACGAACTAGCTGGGGTCTTAGATTACTCGGCTGTATTTCGAGTATCGTTACCGAATTCTCTAGACTGGCTCTTCTTAAACATCGTTTACTAGCTGCACTTACTTCATTTGAAATAAAGAGCAGTTCCCAGGACCGACTTTCTCTTAACCTCGGCATTGGAACATGAATGTGTCGTTTTCTTGTTCAGCAATCGCGAGGTTTTTAAACAGCATACATTTACTTCCATAAAAACACAATACAATACAACGCTAGCTGACGTTTCGGCAGTACCGCCTTCTTCAGAGCCTGGAAGGGTATACTGATATACAATCTGCTAGGCCAAACGCTTCAATAACACTTACACAAAGACGAAAGACTCTTTGGTAATTACACGATCAACAACTTCTCGAAAAACCCACCGCCTTTTCGTGCCTTCCAATGAGGAAGTTTAGAANAACCGCACAGAGTTCACACGGAATCGCATTGTTCCCATCTCATCAAACTAACACGCTTATATACTGCCCAATATCACGCGTGATAATGAGGCATCCCTCCCTGCGGTTCATTTTCGGATTCTTGGAATTAATCCAGAATGCCTCTAGAGTTTTGCGCGCTCGTGTTCTCGATTCTTGCGCGAGGATCGTAACCACTACTTCAAAATCTCCTCCGTTATGTCTCTGTGTTCTATGCGGCCTAGTGGAGTATTTGGTTTATCTTTGCCGATTAGGTGTTTTTTTATACGTACGCAGAGTGGTCTACCCGTTTCGCCAACGTATTCGTCCGAGCACGCTTTACAAGAGATCAGATAGACTGTACCCGAACTCATGCAGTCACCATCTCTACCATTGGGGCAAATTATGCAATTTTGTGTTGGGCATAGACGGTCGTATAGGCGGTTACGAACTAGCTGGCGTCGTAGATTACTCGGCGGTATTTCGAGTATCGTTACCGAATTCTCTAGACTGTCTCCTTTAAACAGCGTTTTATAGCTGCACTTACTTCATTTGAAATGAAGGTATAAACGGAACCTTGTTGTCGCTAGAGTTATCGTTGAAGGCCTATGGTATCCTCTGCACCTCTCCCGAGCTACAGTTTCGTAATCATTATAAATGGCTATTTGTCTCGCCAAGTTACGGGATTCCTCTCTCTGTTGTCTTCCTGTGCACACGCTGGTAGCGGTTCGAAACATGTTTCTCAAAAGGGCCCGTTTCGTGTGAGAGGGGTGAGAGAAGAGGTAGTGAACCAAAGTGTTTTTACTACTTGGCTTTCGATACCATTTCGTAATGTAGCCGTTTTCTGATTGGTTAATTAATTATGCAATTTTACGTTGCACGTAGACGGTCGTATAGGCGGTTACGAACTAGCTGGGGTCTTAGATTACTCGGCTGTATTTCGAGTATCGTTACCGAATTCTCTAGACTGGCTCTTCTTAAACAGCGTTTTATAGCTGCACTTACTTCATTTGAAATGAAGAGCAGTTCCCAGGACCGACTTTCTCTTAACCTCGGCATTGGAACATGAATGTGTCGTTTTCTTGTTCAGCAATCGCGAGGTTTTTNGGGCAAATTATGCAATTTTGTGTTGGGCATAGACGGTCGTATAGGCGGTTACGAACTAGCTGGCGTCGTAGATTACTCGGCGGTATTTCGAGTATCGTTACCGAATTCTCTAGACTGTCTCCTTTAAACAGCGTTTTATAGCTGCACTTACTTCATTTGAAATGAAGGTATAAACGGAACCTTGTTGTCGCTAGAGTTATCGTTGAAGGCCTATGGTATCCTCTGCACCTCTCCCGAGCTACAGTTTCGTAATCATTATAAATGGCTATTTGTCTCGCCAAGTTACGGGATTCCTCTCTCTGTTGTCTTCCTGTGCACACGCTGGTAGCGGTTCGAAACATGTTTCTCAAAAGGGCCCGTTTCGTGTGAGAGGGGTGAGAGAAGAGGTAGTGAACCAAAGTGTTTTTACTACTTGGCTTTCGATACCATTTCGTAATGTAGCCGTTTTCTGATTGGTTAATTAATTATGCAATTTTACGTTGCACGTAGACGGTCGTATAGGCGGTTACGAACTAGCTGGCGTCTTAGATTACTCGAATTAGTGTTTGAGGACTTTGAAAGTTTCATTCGTAAACGTCCGAGTTGTGAACGAACAGTCAGAGTATATTAAATTCACCCGAGAGAAACCAAAAGAAAACTGGCTTCCATTTCTGAACGTGCAAATAAACCTATCAGAAAACGGCTACACTACGAAATGGTATCGAAAGCCAAGTAATAAAAACATCTTGGTTCATTACCTCTCCTCTCATCCATCTCACACGAAAAGGGCGCTTGTGTGGAACATCTTTCGAACGGCTACCGGCGTGTGCACAGGAAGAGAGCAGAGAGAGGAGCTCCGGAACTTGGCGCCGCATATAGCCATTTTCAATGGCTACGAAACTGTAGCTGAAGATAGGTGTAGAGGAAACTACAGGTACCCCAACGATAACTCTAGCGACAGTAAGCTCCCGTTTATACTGCTCTTTATGAATGTGTCGTTTTCTTGTTCAGCAATCGCGAGGTTTTTAAGCAGCATACATTTACTTCCATAAAAACACAATACTATACAACGCTAGCTGACGTTTCGGCAGTATCGCCTTCTTCAGAGCCTGGAAAGGTATACTGATATACAATCTACTAGGCCAAACGCTTCAATAACACTTACACAAAGACGAAAGACTCTTTGGTAATTACACGATCAACAACTTCTCGAAAAACCCACCGCCTTTTCGTGCCTTCCAATGAGGAAGTTTAGAACAGCTGATTATAGTCGCATGTGGTTGACGACTGCGCCATCCCACATCAAAAATCGATGCGAACGTACGGGATCAGTTCGCGTATGACCTCCGGGCATTCTTCCCTGCTATTCATTGTAGGGTTTAGGGAATGTAGGGACGAATGCCCGGAGGTCATACGCGACCTGATCCCGTACGTTCGCATCAATTTTTGATGTGGGATGGCGCAGTCGTC